CCAGTACATTGTGAGTGTTTGTTTTTATCACAACCCTTTTTCTCTCTCGGATGCTGCACTTATTTATTCCACACATAAGGGTCCGACTCTGACATGTTTTTATCGGAGCGACGATGTTTTTTTCGTAGGCAAGTTAAGTCTTTTGTCGGTTGTAACTGTGCGTAGTTTCGCTCGATTAGTTTTAATAGAATGTTTTTCCTAGGCATCGTAACGGCACTAATGAACCAATATGAAAACGTTTATGGAATTACAAACATACGCTGCTGTATGCGAAGTTACCATTTTTGCTGTTATCGGCTGTTCTTTCATAATTCAATATGAATTTTAGTGCATCGTCAGAGGGCAGATAAAATTTACAAGCTTTATGAAATGTATTTGATGTCAAATTATTAGATCAATTAAAGATTTATCACTTAAAGCAAAACGTACCGTACTGGTAACAACATTATACAGTTAATTTCAATTAAATATTTTGATGCTATGAAGTATATAGCTGACGCTTACGACAAATTTTTTGTTTACATTTGTAAAGATTTTAACAATAAATTCATATACAATATTGTTGTATTATTGTATATTTTATTGTATTTATACAGTAACGATAGTATGGTACCAGTAGGCCTAATGCGAATGTGAAGTTAAATTCAAATAAATTCAATATTTTTTAATGTTTTTATTGTAAATTGTATCGATTTTATAGTGATTTTATGTTGCATTACTGTAAGTTCCCTGTTCTTGGCGTTATCGCTGTTGGAGGGTGAAATGAAATAAAATAAATAGAACAAAAATAACAAAATAAATTTAAAAGGTTTAGTAAACTAATAATATCATAGAAATATAAGGCTTATATACCCATTAGGCCTATGATCTAGATGTGTATAAGAGACAGATATATTCCACATAATAGATTTATTTTTGCAATATGAAACATTTCTATGGTAGGTAAATTGCCATATACCTGAATAAATACATAATTATGGTGAAATATTTTAAAATAGGCCTAGTTATTTTTATTGTAAATTGATTAATTAATTTTAGCATTTATGTATCGCTGTTTATCTCAGTCTCATATGCGCTTAAAAAATTAATCACTGTACAAATAAATTAAAATTAAGCTAATTATTAAATACACACAGGCTGTTGTTTCTTTAATAGGCCTAGGCCTACTTTAATATATTTTATTTAGTTTCATTCAAAGCATCATTGGTGCATCTCAAATACTAACATCCGTGCTAATCCTGTCGTAATCCCACAGAGAGCCGATCTTATAAGATTGATTTTTCATAAACTTAATTTCACGACTTTTTGATTTGTCAGTTTCACGCTCCACAGTCATAGATGATAATTAAGTGAAGAATCCAGTCAACCAGTTGATCGAAATTCATCCCAGCACGAAACTTTCTACAGAGTTTGGTCAACCAAGTGGATGACAAATGCTTAAATTGTTATTTGTACAGCTACAAAATGCCAACTTAGTTGCACTTAAGTGGGCTAAACTAACTCACTTTTCAACAAAATGGTGTTCTATAAAAACACATATCACGTATCCTCAACGTAAGAATTAATTGCAGTCATGAATGTGTTTAGTTGGTACAATTAGCAAGACCTGCCGCTCAGTTGAACATATTGTCCCGCTTTACTAGATACAGTTCGTGCAATGCGTCCTCCGAATTCAAGAAAACAATCTACAGTGAAACTCAGAAGAAATTACATTGTGTTTAAATTGATGTGACATCTTAAATGTTTGGATGTGACATGTATAAATAAATAAATGTATGAATAAAAATTAATATTAAAATTTTTTTAAATTAAAAACAGTAGTACTAAGTTGCTCTATCAGGATGACGTGTACCGTTGTCTGACAACGAAACAAGCAAACACAAAATAGACGCTAGTCGCGCATGCGTGAGTTGCAGGATGGAGAAAGAATACGATCGCATTCGCGAGTCACTTTAACTACCTTTTGGATTTTTAATTTATTTGGATTAATAGACATAAACTGAACACAGTATAATTCAAACACTAAAATCTGCTCATTGCAGGTCCTTCTTTTATTCTCTCCTCACATTAGGGCAGTGGCGTATCTAGGGGTGCGCACACACATCCAAAAATTACTTGCTCCCCCTCCCAGACACCCCACAAAAAATCACGGTCAAGTAGTTAAATATTACCTTATTTTGCGAGTTAGCGTCCCTCAACTGATCATAGAGCCA